TTAGTTTTTCTCATAATAAGAGCTGCTACTGTTGTGCTTGTGTGAATTCTGAAAATAGCTAGCAACGATTTCCTAGTAAAAACATATCCGATCAGAAATGGTTTAATTTACACCAAATTGAGGAATTAGAACGAAATCACACATGTCATATGATAGTTATTTGATCATTTTCTTTTCGAATGTTATTCTACCGATTGTGTTGTGTAAGAGAGACGACGGTAGAGCATGAGGGTACGAATACAAACAGACTGTCGCGCACGACAACGAAGCGAGTGTAGTAAAAAACGTCAACCGTTTACATCCCTGATCTGGACTAATCATAAAAGGTCTAATCTAGACAAGAGATTGTCCTGGATATCTGGATGGTCCAGGAAAACGTGGAAGATTCCAGATAACGCTGGAAGGTTGGCAACCAGAGAACCAATAGACGATGCTTGGGACTAGCAATCATCCCCAATGTGTAAAAACTGGTGTGTGTGTGTGTGTGTGTGTGTGTGTGTGTGTGTGTGTGTGTGTGTGTGTGTGTGTGTGTGTGTGTGTGTGTGTGTGTGTGTGTGTGTGTACAATCTAACCCCCACTGTCCAGCAGTGTTATTATGGAAGAAAACTGCTTTTTATTACCCTTAAATTAAAGCAGGTTTAGTCCGGGAGTTAGAAGGTGTTAGCTCTATTGCAGCTCCAGTGACCCATTTCAGAATGCCTGGTAATTCACGACCACTCCGAGGTCACTTTTACTTACAATAAGCCCCGCATGTTCACTCTACCTTTATCAAATGGATAATGGTATCATAAACACACTTCCAGATTCAAAAATATTATTTCCAAATCTGGCACGTATATAGTTTTGAAATTTGTTCAACTGTTTTAAATCGATTTGAATGGACATTTCTTACCAATTTTGTTTCGAATACCTCTTGATTCATCTGCTGGCAGCACTAACTGGCCCTTACCGGCGACCAACCCTTACTCAAATGCTTCAACTTCCCGGATGGCGGCCCGCTTGATTCACTCCTTCTTGATGACCTTCTGTTTGCCTATCAGCCTCTTCCACTTTTCGTCCTTCAGATACAAATCCGGAATAAGATCTTTTTTTTTTTACACCATCAATTTTAGAGTTTTTTTTAATCGTTCAAATTGATAAAAACCATAAAAACACAGTGACTTTTTTTTAGCAAAATCAAAACACGTCTTTAGGTGAATCATCCTGTCGCAAAAAGCCATGCAGGAGACGGATTCTTCATCGCCTTTAACTGGCTTAGCGCATTGGTCACAGGCGGAAGTCATGCTGACCCAGTTTCCAAAAGTGATTTAGAAACAGCGGTGGAGATACTCTAATACGCAAAGAGGAATTGGATTCTCGAGATCGCCCAATGCTAGTCGTGTACAATATGTCCGATTGGATAATTTTTTCACTGTTTTCACAACACAAAATTAGCCGATTATCGTAACGAACTACACTTTCCACTAACAACACTAATCAGCCGATTATCGTAACGAACTACACTTTCCACTAACAACCAGTACAATATTACAAGTATACCGAAAGGAAAAAAACGAATAACGATAGCCCGTGTGATAAAAAATGACAAATTTAGCTGCGCAAAATCACGACGATGTGAATAACAACAACTCTATATGATCTATCATCCCCAATGTGTAAAAACTGGTGATCTCAAATTAGGCAATACCAGCGCCAGCCGCGCCTGAACGCAGGTCAAGAAAGGAGTGGGTGATGGAAGCCGAGGAGTCCGAGGAATTACAGGAATGTTCGATGAGAGGGTTGGGTTTGCAGCAGGGTTCGTTTTGCTAATAGGAGCTTGGGATTGAACCCACGGTCTTCTGCTCAGTAAGCAAAATCGTTTGCCACTAGGCAGACGAGATCCTTTCTAATCATCCAGTTGCTGTTATTACCATGTAGTCATGTTAACAAGTAAAACGATTGAAGAACCTTGAATGTGGGTGGGCTTGAGAATAGACTCATGATGTTCTGCTCAGTAATCAAAAACGGTTGCTCTAAGGCCACCGAGCCCCTCATATCACATTATACCTTTACTAAAATTGTTATAACGTTGTTGACGACAGTGAAATTTTTTACAAAATTCAAACAGATAAACAAGCGATCGTACCATACATTTTTAACATGAAAGGACCTGGGACCGCGTTTTTCTGCTCAATAAGCAAGCCACTGCAACCGACGATCTTTCAAATCTGAAAACTAAAAGCTACGAAAGAGTACTTAGGACTTCATTAAGTTCCACTTTCACGCGACGTTTAATGTTTCGATTTTCTCTTTACGCTTTGTTCAGGCATTCATAACTAGCTATGACCGACGTGACGATAGCTTAAGCCCTGGTTAAACAAGCTATTTAAATGAAATTACGTTCTCAAATTTCACTTGGTATTTAATGAACAACAGAAATACGCGATAATGCAAATAGTTTCAGCGCCTGATGGTTAATTTTAAATATACCAACGGTACTGCCTACGCCGACGACAACAGTGAATTTGCAACTTACCATTTTTCTAGGATATAACACCTTTGCCCGGCACCTCCACTTGAGCTTCATTTCTGCTATCTGTCACTGTTTGCGAAAATATCGAATAGGAATTACCTTTGTTGTAGTAATTCCTTCAACGAAAACAAATTTTCTTGCATTGCCATAGTCATCTGGGAGGAAATTCGCGTCTTGTGCTTTCCCCAGCAACCGTTCACGGCTAGCAGCTACCGCCCGTATCCTTCAGCTTGCTCACAATCTTCGGCACTGGCGAGGGACCAGCAGACGAGCACTTTTGCAAGCCGTCCTACTGATTCGGAAGGAAGATATTGCACATAAACACGACAATGCTGGAATTACCCCAAACCAAATGGAGCATTCATGTTTCACTTCGCTGAAGCGAGAGGATTTCCTACGTTTTGTCTGAGTAACTCTATAGATGCATACTTAATAACTAAAAATCAACTCGCAACTCAATGATTTGTCAATCAAATCCCATCCCAGTCCAATGGCAATCAAAAAGTTCGAAAGTGTAGATAATCATCTAGTCGTAAACTCCCGTTCACTTTCACTCCAACTTGACACACTAAGCACATCGCAGCAGTTTTCGAGACTTCGACTCGCATCTTCCTGCCCTTGATCATAATAATAAAAATTCCACCGCATCCCATTCTTGTCACCGCCGCCGTTGCCGTTATCTGATCGGAGTGTGAGACTATCACTTTCCATTTTTGCTGATGGCACAGCATCATGAAGCATCCGAGTTGCTCATATGGGCCCAATCGAGCACCACGGGCCGAAAACGGCTTGGGAAATTAAGACCAATAAACTGTTTGATTTCGGTGGTAATTACCATCAACATATGCCATCATCGTCGCAGCGGTGGTGGGATGGGGGTGGTGGGGGAAATATTACGGATCCAGCAGCTGTGGCTGAGCCGAAACCTCATTATCCGAAAAGAGATTATTATGTCACGGGTGAAGGTAATTCCATTTTACGTACGACAGCAAGAGTTGAACCGTGTCTGCTCACCCTTACCGGATTTAAGAGAATGATGATTCCAATTATACTGGGACATAATTGTTGTGTCCAAATTTGCCGTTTCCGATCTTCCACATGGACCAGTTGCACGACAAATGACGACTCGGAAAAACTCGACCTTCTCCGATGTGTATGAAACGTTGCATAATTTTGTTTTATGGGAAATCATTTTGGATCTTGTACCTTTTTTACTCAATGGCGTCTTTATCGTTTTCCAATAAATATTGAAGATGTTTCAGTGTTTACCACTTTTTTTGAAGTTTTACTCAACATATAATTACCATGTATATTTTTCCCTAAAGACTTTACTTTTCTAAACAACATTGTCTCAGTCGTCATTTCGATCAGAAGTGTCGATTTCATGCTACAATTGATTGAAAAATGTCAAAGACGTAATTTTGAAGAAGAAGAAGAAGAAGAAGAAAATACAGGATCCAAAATGTTCGATTTTTTGCAAAAATGTGAAATCGCAAAATGCTATTCGGAACTGGTCACATGGCTTTGCACAGGAAGTACATACTCTTCAGTCCGTCGTAGAATAGAACCTCTACAACAGCAGCTTTGACCTATTCTCGATCAAATTGACTTCCAATTTAGAACAGTGTTCATAGCACGTGAGTAATTTTTTTTTGATTGATCCAGATGTGTAAATCCGTAACAGATGTCACCACCAACACACACACACCCACACACTGAACTTCGAAATTGTTTCGATAGTAAATTATTCATTTCATCAAATTTGCTTTGGATGAATGACAAATTGCGACCTATTTTTGCTCCTTCTTTGGGTTAGAGATTGAACCCCCAAAGAGGACATGTCAACAAGTTCTACTGACCTCGCCCGTCCCAAATTTATATTCATCGCATTCGAATCCACACTGCCAGCAAAAATTGATATCCCAAAAGCAGGCGAAAAATCGACTATCGATTGCACTGCCCCGCGAGCCTCCGCCTTCACACTCGACCAATATTCATTTGAACGGAGTCAATTGGTTTTTCTGACCAAATGCCACCCCCCCCCCTTCTCGTCTGTGGCAACTGCCGTATAGTGAGAATAACTGACTGCGTCGTCGTTGTCGTTGTCGTCGTTGTCGTTGTCGTCGTCGCCGTCGCATACCTTCAGGCGCAAACGGGGCGACTCAAAAATTGATTTATGAATCCACTTACTCCTTTTTTCCCCCGCCATATCATCGGTAACGGCATCGATGACGACGACTACGACAGGGACGATAACTGCCGCCGCAGGCTCAAATCGATATCTCATGTCGGAATGCAAAATGCGGGCGATGACGATGGTTGAATGAACATCATCGTTTCGGTGGCAAAATCGGTGTGAATTGGACAAAAGTCAGCGGTCTGGTGCGATTTATTTGCGATTGAATGATTGATCGGGTCACTTTCGAGTGGAATGATTTGTGAAAAAAAAACATATTCTAATAATTTTCCCATCTTCTCAATGTTTCAGATCCCATCCCGGCGCCGCTGCGTGCGCTGAATCCCTTCATCAAGCACTGGGAACCGGCACGGTTCGATCGCAGCCAGCTGGAGGTAGCCCACCGGCATCACGAAGACCACCGGCGGCGGAGGCGCAGTGTCAACTATGACCACAGTGCGGCCAGCTACGGCCCGGCCAACGTGGTCCGGCTCAACTTCCACGCCCACAATAGGTAAGTTCAACCGAATAAATTTCAATTAAAAAAAAAAGATTGGTCAGTGACGAGATTTCAACCGATAACCTTCGGATTGCGGGGCGCCAATTTACACTTGGTTCCGAAACAGTAATCAGTGTAGTTGTGCAGGATTTTACGACGGTTTCTTAAATACTTTCAACAAAATGTGTTCTTTTTGGTCATGACCGCGGAAAATTCCCACAACAACGAACTAAAAGTCACCGGAAGAGTTCGTGTTCCGCACCGAAAACTTCCTTCGCCGGTTATAAAGCAACTTTCAACTTCGATTTAGCGACGGAATGACTTACACCTTCCATATGCGCGCCGCACAGCCACGTCGACGATACACACCGAAAGCACCGAGAAGAAGGACTCAACTTTTATAAGCAAGCTTCATAAAACATAAAATTTAAACTTTCGCCCATAAAGTAGATGCCGGTCGATGGCGAAGTAACGGCAGAAAAGAAAACCGAAACATAATATTCCTGCCTGGGACCCCGAGATAGGCACACGCAAAACTAGAAACTCTCCCGGAGAGGACAAACTTTCAACCTTTTCCGCCTGGCGCAGAACTTTTCACGACCCTTCCGGGGTGATCTGTTTTCGCCCCTCTCCCTCAAGCAGGTCGAAGAGCTTTGACAAACTTGGAAAGGATGAGCAGTCCGAGAGCGGTGGGGGCTTGGGGCGGGAGGGGGTGGGCGTTAAAAGTGCGATAAAATGCTACAGGCCAAACTAAGAAACACGTGCCGATTTTCGCTAGCCGCTGGCTGCGCTGCGGCTGAGGTTCATGGGGTTGTAAGCAGTCTATCGCGCGGCCAAGTTTATGGCGAAAGTTTAGCATATTTTCTGCCGGTCGAGGGTTAACTCACCCAGTTGCCATGATGGAAAGTAATTCCGGAGAGCGCACAGGGCGACAGAGAGATATGACCAACCGGTTGTCGTCGGGGGTGGCAAAAGATGGGTTTTTTGTTTCGGAGGAAGTTTTTTTTTCTGGCTTGGAGTAGGTTTAATGGAAGAGTTTTCCGGTGATAAAGGGGAGGCCGCGGAAGGTGGATTCAATTTATGGGATTGAGAGGTTTTCCAAAATATGGCGCTTGTGAAAGTGTTGAGTTATTAAGGTTTGGTAGGTTGTAATACTAGCTAACATGTCCGTTGGTAAATTAGATTAATAATTGGTCCTTTAGAAAGTGGATGGACTGCTTTTTTTTTTTATATTAATTTATTTGTACAGGCTCAATCGAATAAACTTTACAGAGCCGAGTTATCATTTGCATTATACATGAATGATGTCTTAAATCTAGAGTTAAAGGAATTGAACCGATTACTCGCGGTCGTCTCGAGGTTAGTGGAGATTTACAATTTTTTGGATGGGGAAAGAGAGAAGGAGGTTTGAAATATGATTTATTATATAAATATTTAATTAATCCTAAAACATGAACTTATTTCTATTCATCTTGAAAACAAACATAAAAAAAAACTACACGCACAATACACAAACTAAACACAAGGTTAATCAAACTTACAATCTAAGGTTAGTATTCTTAAAGTAAACATATATGAGTTTCATAAACTCCAGATCACGTCTAGCCAAAATATCCCGAACTGGAACATTAGGTTGTTTACCTCGAGCCCGAAGGGAATCGCACAGCTCAGATCTGACTCCACGATGCTCAGCACAAGACCAAAGGATGTGATCGGCGTCTTGGTAACCTTGTCCACATTCACAGAGATTGCTGTCTCCCAGCCCAACACGAAACAAGTGAGCGTTTAACGAATAGTGATTGGACATGAGGCGAGACATCATACGAATGAAGTCTCGACCCACATCCAACCCCTTGAACCAAGGATTCTTCGACACCTTAGGGATGATCGAGAATAGCCATCGTCCCAAACTCCCTTCACTCCATTTATTTTGCCAGCTGGCGAGCGACTGTTGACGATAAATGAAGAAAAATTCATTGTAGGCGATTTGTCGATCGTAAATATCGCCTTGCATAGCGCCCACCTTAGCAAGTGAGTCCGCCTTCTCATTGCCCGGAATCGAGCAATGAGATGGGACCCATGCAAAGGTGATGACAAAAGATCTTAAAGATAAAGCACTCAGAAGCTCTCGTATTTTCATGAGAAAATACGAGGAGTGCTTTACCGGCCTCATGGATCGAATAGCCTCGACAGAACTGAGACTATCCGTAAAAATAAAATAGTGATCTGGTGCAAGTGAGGCGATCGTTTCTAGCGTATAGTATATTGCCGCCAGTTCAGCAACATATACGGAACAAGGAGCTTGAAGCATTCGAGAGGCGCTATGAAATTCGTTAAAAATACCAAAACCAGCGGACGACTCTATTAGTGATCCATCTGTGAAGAACGATCTTGCAGAATCAACTTGGCCAAACTTTGCAGCGTAAATTGACGGAACAATCATGGAACGATGATGTTCTGGGATTCCACGAATCTCCCGCGTCATAGATAAATCAAAACTAACTGAATTGCCGAAGTCGGAGAAGCATACACGATGGGGATTATGCTGTGAAGGGCTGACATCCTGAGTTATGTACACGTAGTACAATGACATAAAACGAGTTTGAGGGTTTAGCTCAAGAAGCTTCTCAAAGTTTTCGATTACCAGTGGGTTCATAACTTCACAACGGGTGAGGAGCCTGAGGGACAATTCCGAAAACCGATCCGATAGTGGCAACATGCCCGCCAACACTTCGAGACTCATCGTATGAGTCGAGTGCATGCATCCTAACGCGATACGAAGACAACGATACTGGATACGTTCCAGTTTGATGATGTGAGTTTTAGCCGCCGACTGGAAACAAAAACTACCGTACTCTAAAACCGATAAAATCGTTGTCCGGTACAACGTTAGAAGATCTTGCGGATGAGCTCCCCACCACGTTCCGGTAATTGTTCGGAGAAAATTGATCCTTTGTTGGCATTTTCGTCTCAGATACTCAATGTGGGATCTCCAGGTGCATTTGGAATCGAACCAGACCCCAAGATATTTGAAAGACATGGAATGAGTGATCGGCTTACCCAAAAGTTGAAGCTTCGGTTGTGCTGGGCTATGCTTTCTAGAAAAAACGACCAACTCAGTTTTCTCCGTGGAGAATTCGATACCTAGCTGGATAGCCCAAGTAGACAAATTGTCTAAGGTATCCTGTAAGGGTCCTTGCAGGTTGACCCCTGTGGGCCCTGTCATAGAAACTACGCCATCATCTGCAAGTTGTCTCAACGTGCAGTTGTCACTTAGACAATTGTCAATTTCTCTGACATAGAAATTGTACAAAAGGGGGCTTAAACATGAGCCCTGGGGGAGACCCATGTAACTAAATCGAGAAGCTGTAGAGTTTCCATGAGAAAAGCTCATATGTTTCTCTGACAGCAAATTGTACAAAAAGTTATTAATTAATGGGGAAAGGCCACAAGCGTGGAGTTTGTCTGAAAGGACTTCAACCGATACTGAATCAAAAGCCCCCTTAATATCCAAGAACACAGAAGCCATTTGCTCTTTTTTAGCAAAAGCCAACTGGATTTCTGTGGAAAGCAACGCGAGACAGTCGTTCGTTCCCTTACCCCTACGGAAACCAAATTGAGTATCTGAGAGTAGGTGGTTCGTCTCAACCCATTTGTCGAGGCGAAAAAGGATCATTTTCTCCAACAATTTTCGAATGCACGATAACATCGCGATGGGACGATACGAGTTATGATCTGACGCGGGTTTTCCAGGCTTTTTAATGGCTATAACTCTCACTCGCCTCCAATCATCTGGAACAATATTGAACTCCAGGAACTGACAAAACAAGTTCAACATGCGCCTCTTAGCGACGTCTGGGAGGTTCTTCAACAAGTCGAACTTGATCCTATCAGCCCCCGGAGCCGAATTGCGACACGAAAGTAGCGCGAGTGAGAGCTCCAGCATTGAAAAAGGCTGGCTGATCTCGTCTACCGAATTCATCGTTTCGCGAGGAATCATCTGTGCCGGCACGGAATCAGGACATACTTTTCGCGCGAACTTGAGAATCCACCGATCCGAGTACTCCTCGCTCTCGTTGTTTGAAGACCGGTTACGCATCCTTCGCGCCGTGTTCCAAAGCGTATTCATCGACGTTTCGCGCGATAAACCGTCCACGAATTGCCGCCAGTATCCGCGTTTCTTGGCTTTGATGAGGCTCTTGAGTTCGCGTTCAAGAGTTGAGTACGCTTCGAAATACTCGGGTGTTCCGCGTTTCCGGAAAAGCTTAAACGCGTCGGATTTTTTACGATAAACCTCAGTGCATTGCTGGTCCCACCAAGGGGTAGGAGGTTTCCTACGAAAAGACGTTCCTGGAACCGGCCGAGTTTGAGCTCGAAGCGCGCTGTCCAAGATCAGATTGGAGAGGAAGTTATATTCCTCCAACGGTGGAAGCTCTTCTACCGACGACACGGCTTCATCTATCGCGGTCTTGAACGTTGTCCAATCGATATTACGGGTGAGGTCGTACGCGACGTTAACGGATTCCGACGAATTGAACCCACTGGCAATCGAAATTTTGATCGGCAATTGATCACTACCGTGGGGATCCTGGATCACATTCCACGTGCAATCCAACGATAATGAATTAGAGCGAAGTGTGAGGTCTAATCTACTTCCATTTGAGGATGGACCAGCCAGACGTGTTACTTCTCCATTGTTAAGAATTGTCATATTGAAGTTATCACAGAGGTCATATATCAAAGTAGAACGGTTGTCATCATACAGTTCCCCCCAGCCTGTACCGTGGGAATTAAAATCTCCCATAATCAACCGTGGAGTAGGAAGAACTGAACAGATATCTGAAAGTTGTTTTTGACTAATCGAAACTCGGGGAGGAATATACACAGAAGCAATACAAAGGCTCTTGCCTTTAACAAAAGCCTGACATGCGACAACTTCAATACCTGGAAATTGTGGAAGATTCACTCTATAGAAGGAATGGCACTTTTTGATCCCCAAAAGTACTCCTCCTCCA